CGCAGCAGCGGAGCCGAGACCCCTTTCCCCGCCAAAGCGCCCAGAATACCGTCCCACCGTACGGTGTTAAAGGCGTTCCTGACGTCCAAGGCCACCATCACGCAATGCAACCCTGTACGCTTAGCAGCGTCCCATGTGTCGATGAGGCGACGCATGGCATCTACCGTGCTTTTGCGCTTGACAAAGCCAAATTAGTTGCTTGCGAAGGCAACCCCGGACGCCAGATGCTCCTTGAGACAATACTCGAACGCCTTGGAGAAGTTTGAGAGGAGGCAAAGAGGGCGCCACGACACCCCGCCCCCGGGTCCAGGCTTCTTGGGGATCAGCACAAGCCGGCCCACCTTCCATGCCTCAGGGAAATATCCCAATGTGAGGCATGTGTTAAAAAGGTGGGCGATATGGCTAAGTGCCTCTCTCCCAAGCGTCCAGACCGCGCAGGTCGAGATATCGTCGACGCCAGCCGCTCTCCTGTTAACATTATTGGTAGCCGCCTCGACCTCCCCCTCTGAAAATAGATGGCCTGAAGAGGCAGGGCACTCGGACAAAATATCCTCCACTCGAGGAAAGGGAGCTCCGCTAGGGGGCTCCGTAACAAAAAGTTTGCAGACGACGCCCGCAACCTCGTCGGCGCCAAGGGATGCCGGCGGAGAGCCTCCCTTAATCCTGCCGCTGACCCACAGGTACGGCCGGCCCCAGACGTCCGCCTCGACGCTGTCGGTGAACGTCCTCCACGCGGAGGTTTTGGCCCTCGCAATGGAGCGGGCCAGGTCCTTCTTAAGGACCCTGTAAGCCGCGATCCTAATTTCGAAAAGGTTGACGTCGTGGTCGCGTCTGGCCCTCTGCATATGTCTCTGGGCTCTACAAACGAGTTTCCTGGCCGCCGAGATCTCGCTATTCCACCACCACACGGGGCGCTTATCGCGCAGCCCGGGGTGGAGGAAACGAGATGCCCGGCCGACCAGGTCGACAACCATGTCTATGTACGCGTCCACGTCCTCAACAGTAGAAATACTGAGGGGGTTAGCTTCATGCGCATATCTAAAGTAAAGATTTAAAAAACGTTTAATATTTACACTCCGGCGCGGAGGACCACGATACGGTCCTCGCCCGGCAGTGCACTCAGCAAACCTATGAAGAATGTACCGGTGGTCGGAGGTAGTCTCAACGTCGAGAATACTGCTCTCCTTCAGCCTAGCATAAGCGCCCCCGCCGCACAACATGAAATCAATGAGGGAGCGCTGGCTCTCCCGCTCAAAGGTAAAAGCCCCGGCACTTCTGACCGGGACGAAGCCAACCCTGTTAATAAGCTCGAGGATGGCGTGCCCCCTTGCATCGGAGCAGACCGATCCGCAGGCCGGGGACTTCGCATTGAAGTCCCCGCCCACTGCAATCTGGCCCAAAGGAACTTGTCCAATTAGGGCCTCAAGATCGTAGAGAAGGGCGCCGAATTCGGTGAGCGAGATACTCGGGGAGTAGTAGCAGCCAACGAGGGTGAGATCACCCACGCTGACCGCCACCGCCCCCCCCACGGCACCAACGGGCCTGACTCCCGCCCCCGCAGCGCCCCTCCCCGTGACCCAAATGGCCGCCTTTCCGGATTCGTCCCTGTGCCAGTCACCTAGAACGGTCCAGGGCTCCGACACGAGGACAACGTCAACCTCGAGCTCCCGCACGGCCTGCTGGAGTAAGTCGTGGGCGAGACGACACCTATGCAGGTTGATTTGGAGTACGTTGAGACCCCCCCATCCGGACTCCCTGGGAATTAGCCGTATTGGCCATTACTATGAAAATAGGTAGCTAAAAGAGTAATACTAAAATAAAAGTAAACTGAAAATAAGAATAAGAATAATTACCAAGAGTATTATGTCAGTAATGAGCTGGAAGTAAAAGTATAAAACAGGTATAACCAGACAGCTTCGATGCACAGGTAACTGCACTAACCGAAAACGAATTTAAAATCTGACAATTAACGTACGGTAAAGTAAAGTAGAAAAAAAGTGCTAAAAGAAAACGACTAAGAACTGTAGAGACAGAAAGACATATACACAAAAACCGGCAAGAAACGGTTGCGAAGGACTGTCGCAGACACAGTCTGACGTCAGTCAGTGTTTTGACGGAGAGGGCCGTCCCCCTCCGCACGTCCCTGCACCGCGGTATGCGTCGAGCCAGTCGGCTCCAGTCGTGTAGGTTCGCGTCGCTCGGCCGAGTCTGCGCAGCGGCCTGCGCAGCCCTTGCTGCGCGTCCGCGAGGCATCGCTATTTTGACGGAGCGTTCCGTCCCCCTCCGCGCGTCCCTGTATCAGCGTTCCCGTCGGGCCGAGCGTCGGCTCTTGTCGCCTCGTGTCGTCACGGGCGGCCGAGTCTGCGCAGCGGCCTGCGCAGTCCTCGCTGCGCGTTAGAGGCGCGTTTGCCGGCGAGGAGGACTCCCCCCCCCCAGACGTTGCACCGCGCGGTGCAGGCAGCGGACAGCCACCCGCACGGGTGAGGACAACCCGAGAGATGCAATCCGACTGCCCCTGGCGAGAAACGGTCTCGCCAGGTGCATAAAGCCCTGCAGGCGGGAGGACCCTTTTCGCAGCCAAAGGGGGAGAGGGCCGAACACGCGGGGTTGCCTTAGGGCGTCGCTCGGCCGGAGGGGGCTTCCCCCCTTTATTTCTGGCCTCCTCGAGGGCCCTGCGATAGGCAGGGCACCGGAGACCCCCGTCCCGATGCCCGGCCTGGTCGCATACCACGCACCTCTCCTGCCCCTTACACTCGCCAGCCCGATGGTCATCGGCACCGCATTTACGGCAGACCTTGGAACGGTCTGGTCCGTCACATTTGGCCGCCCGATGCCTGTAACCCCGGCATCTGAAGCACTGGAGAATTTCCTCGCGCTCAGAAAGCCCACAGCAACTCCAGCCCACCCGAAGGGGGCTGAGAGCGAGAATACGCGCAGCTACCGATGCGAGAGCCAGAATGGAGGTTTAGCACTAAAGGGAAGGTAAGCGAATCGGAGAGCGTGTTTAAGGTTACTATTAATGCAGTTTATTGAATTGCTATCGATGAGCGCGGGCGCGACTAGCGTGGTGTCGTAGGACTAGCAACTTAGGACAGACTGAGCTTTTAGAGTTGCGCGTTTGTCTCTTTTATAGTGGAAGAGAAGAAAGGAATAGATGGATCTTCGTAGGAAAGGAGAAAGTTGGGAATGTCCCGTGCGGGTCGAGGTGTCCAGATGTGAGGAGAATTGTTTTATTAGGGGTGCGTGATTTTTAGGGAATTTTGAGGATTAGGAACGGTACTTGTTTTATTGCTAGCGGCCGCGCTCAGGTAGAGGGATGCGACGCCACAGTACTCCACCGTTAGTGTTTTTGTGCAAGAAAAATGTTGTTTGTGTACTCTGAATATTTTACAATGTTGGTTCCGAGGATCATGGATGAAATTAAATTGTGTTTCCTGTCGAAGGTGTAACGGAGAGGATGTGGGAGAAGTTAATCGAAGATGTGTTCGCTGCTGATTGGTAGGCCGTAATGATCTGGAAATTTAACTTTTCGGTTGGACCGTCGTGGATTTGTCACTGGTGATTCGGGATTTTCTGTTCCGTTTCTGCTGGTGTCTGTGTGTGGCGTCTGTGTGTTGTGTGGATCTGGAGTTTGTTGTATTTGTTCGCTATCTTCGTGCATGATGTAGGCTGGTTTCAATCGGTCGATCGTCACGTTGACGTTTCTTCCTTTTATAGCAATGATGAAGTTCCGTTCGTGCCTTTTTACGACACGATACGGTCCTTCGTATGGTTGTTGCAACGGCGTTTTGACGGCATCGTTCCGGACGAACACTTAGTGGCAGGATGCTAAATCTTTGAAAATGAAGACGGATCTCCGGCCATACCTTGTGCCGTTTGTTGGGCGAAGATGCGCGAACTTGTTCTTCAGGTCGGAGGTGAACTGGTTCGTCGGTTGCTGGTTCGAATTTTGAGGTGCGAGAAATTCGCCAGGGAGCCGGATGTTTTCCCCGTATACGAGTTCTGCGGAGGTTGCGCTGAGGTCGTCTCGCCAGGCAGATCGTATGCCTAACAATACTGCTGGTAGTGCCTGTGTCCAACGCTCCTCCTCG